GAGATCTCAGGAAGTGGCAGGGACAGCTACCTCCCTGATGAGCTGGCCCCTGGGACCACCAGGGTCTTAGAAGCAGGACCCCTGCACAGGGGCTCCCCTCTCTTGGGGCCAGCTTTGCACCTGAGACATGCCCACAGCCTGCATGAAGCAGGGGATGCTGGCAAAGACTCAAACCCCCAAACCTGGGCTTCCTCTCGAGGCTTCTAAGAGTGCTGTTCAGACAACTCGCTCCAGTTCCCGCTGGCTGTCCCCACCTCCCCACGGGGCTGTTAAGTAGCCTGTCTTTCTGCCAGGCTGGGCAGCAGATGATGTCAGTCAAAAGGCTCCAGGGAGCCACCAGGACGAAGTAAAGATGCTTCTAGTCTACTTGTATATGGGCTGTCTCTGTCACTGGAACGAAAGCTCCAGGACATCTGGGACTCTTTTGTCCACTGCTCTAGGCTGAGCACCAGAAGGCCCCACAGATATCTGAGTTCCTAATGTGGAAATGGGAAGCAGCAAAGGAGGAGCAGCTTTGGAGGCAGGCACTTGAGTTTGAGAGTCGCCTTTACAGCTTCCTGCCTGTGTGATACTGGGAAAATCACCATCCTCTCTAAGCCTCAGCCTCCACTTTGGGGAAGTGAAAATATCAATCCCTATATCACAGGAGCAAATGAGATAATGCACCCAAAGTACCTTGCACAAGAAAGCCACTCAACCACTCTCCTTCTGGTTCCACCAAGAACTACAGAGTAGGATGGATTTGTTCCCAATGGAGGAAGCCTGGCCATAATTTGCTCCTAGACTATGTCCAGCACAGGGCTGGGCACACAGAAGGGACTCTGGAAGTGTGGCAGGAGGCCAGAGATAGACAGGTCCTTAGAGACCACACCCATGCCCTCTGACCTCAAGGGGAAAGGGACTTGCTTAAGGTCTCACAAGGTGTTAGCTCTACCTCTGGAATCAAGTCTGAGGTCTCCTTGTTGAGTCCAGCACTCTTTTGCTAGGAAAAGCATGAGATTCCAAGGCTGATGGGCACAAATCTTGAACCTGATCATACACCAGGGGAGGAGGTGACCAGAGCTCCTCTTACTGGCTATTTCTAAGGTCACCAGTCTAAGGGAGAGGGATGGATAGAATGGGGCCAGTATTTTCATAGCCATCCAAATCCTCTACATACCCCATTACGCTGGGGCTCCTTTCTCCGCCCCACTTGCATTTAGAAGTGAGAAGGAGATGTGCTGAGGGATTGGTTTTGGTCACTTTGTGTGTGGAAAGCACACTGCACTTGGGGCCAACCAAATGACAGCCCTTGGTGTAGCTCCCCACCTTCTGGATGGCCATCGATCTGAAAGTCACTATATTTCTCAGACTTTATTATCTTTATCCATAAAGGACAATAATAATAATACCTCTCCCCCCAGCCATAGAATGGCTGGGAAACCCAGAAGAAATACCAGGCATAGTAAGTCATTATGACCTGTAGAGTCAGTCATTTATTAATATTAAATGGCTGAACACAGAAGATATGCAAAGAGTACAGTGCCCCCTTCCTTCTCCAATGGTACATTTCATGACTGTAACATCCCCATTTTGTCTAGGAGCTGCTTTATGAATGGAATGGGTGGTTGCTTAGAGCTGCGGGAATCTTTGCCACTTGCAGTGAGGTGTAGACTGAGACAGAGAGACATGTGACATGCACACTGAATCCCAACTCCACACAGGCTCCATGGCACTCCAATTCGGAGTGCTAACGCCTTTGAGATTCTCGCACTAGCAACCAATTGACCTACTGATTTGGGGGAAGAGTCAAGATCTTAACTTCAAAGGGAAGGACCAAATGTTCTGCCTCCTGTTAAAACTCCATACAGAGACTGGATACCTTATTAACCTTGGATAGATGTCCAAATGTTCAAAAGGTAAAACTCTTCTTTTCTCCAGATCAGAAGAGTCATTAAGCAATCATGCTACTGAATGAATGAACAAATGCTGAAAATATACTTGGATCGCTGAGATTTCTTATGACATGAATTCATGACATGAATTCAGCATCTTGTGATTTCCAATGTGCTTTAGATCTAAGAGGCAGCAAAGTATGGTGCTGATGACACGGGGCTCTGAGATCTGCCACTTCTTAGGTCTGTGACTTTGGTCAAGTTGCTTAACCTCTCTGAGCCTCAGTTTTCTACAGATAATAATAACTGCTTCTTCTCAGGGTTATCATAGGGTTACAGGAGATAATGTCCCCCAAATGCTTAGCAAAGTACTTAGCACCTAGTCAGTGCCCAATTAAAGGTGGTTATTCTTACTCTTGGTTCATTTGAACTTTGTTCTCAGGGACAGCAAAAGATGGAGAAAACCCCATGGCTAGATAGCAGTAGAACCCAGGCATCCTGAGCCTTAGTCTTGGGCTAAGAACAACTATCACACCAGATGCACATTTTCCTGTAAGGGAGAACTCAATTATTTACATGTAAATCTAAGGGCTGTTTAAAGAGAACTCTCCTCTGGGACTGATATAATTATATTTCAAGATTGATTTGAGACATGTTTTTTTTTCTTTGTTAGCATGTTTTTCAGTACCAGTTTCAGTACCAAGAGAACCAGTTAAGCTGAATGCTTGCAGCAGCTCTCTTGTTAGGAATGCTTTCAGGATGAGGAGAATGGTGGAAAAAATGTGCTTCCACATGTGCCCATTTTCCTGGGATTAGTGTTCAGGGTGTCATCCCAGGATGTTATGAAGTGTCAAAGGGAGAGTGAACAACAAAAACATCTGAGATCCAGCTAAGGCCACACCCTGGAAATGTAAGCCCAGCTCTTGCAAAGGACCTCCTTCTGCCACTCGTGTTCTAGGCCAGACCCTGCAATAGCTTGTGTGGACTGCAGGTTTCTTGGTGGACTCCCAGGCCATTGTACTTTTAATCTGTCAGCCTCTGTCCCTCAGTCCACAAGCACCCAAATGCTGAGATCCTTATCGTGTGCAACACGGTCCGATGTTAGCACCAGGTACCTTCTGGAGTCTACAGGGATTGACTGACCATGAAAATTCAGCTGTTCTCAGACCAAGAGCTGCCCTGGCTGCTCCCCGATGGTAGTAGCAGCAACTGGCAGGCCCAGCCAAAGGAGAGGCATTTCTCAGTGTCACCCCCTTTGGAGGCCCATATGTGTTTTCCAAGAAGACAAATGTGGTTTCGACTGTGAAGAAGACTCATCTGAGGGAGTTGCTTTCAGAGCCTGAGGCATGTTTTTTGGATCCCCTAAACTGGGGAGAATCTTTGGTCTTCTAGGACAGCTTGGAGTTCCAGAAATGGGCCAGTCAGAGCCAAAGGCAGAGAACGAGGTGTGCCACAGAGGAGGCAGAAAGGGTGACTTTAATCTAGTCCAAGGTGTGATTCTAATGCAATAAATGTGAGTTTTGGCAAGGCTTACACAGGGCTATAAAGCCACCTGCAAATAGAAGTCAAGCCCTGAATGGTGTAAGCAGTGACAACTTCTGCAGAGTAAGGGCATGGATGGCTACTCCAAGGACCTATTCTAAGGACAATCTTCTCTGGAATACAGCATTGAGCTCTGTAGTGATCAAAACCAAAGCAATTACTTACTAGTCACACTTTTTGAAAGAGTGTAGGTGGAGGGGGTGAGCAGAAGGGGAAGAGGACTCCTGCAACTACAACCCACCCACCCTTTTCTTCTAGGATTTGGCCCAAGTAAATGGAAACAAGTGGGAAACAAAGGAGAAATTTAAAGTCATGGTGAAACTGATCATGGACTCTGAGTGCATTACCAGGAAGTTTTCCATTACTGACTCAGTTGCTGACCATAAAAAAGAAGAAAGAAATAAAAAGGGTAATTAGGATGGAGGTTAGAGATGTCCTTCTAGAAGATGCCTGACTAAGGGCTGGCAATTTGGAGGACAGGCTGCTGGCCAAGTAATACTTCCATCTCTGCCATCCCACCTGACTGCCATCTCTGTGATGGCTGGGATGTCAGTAAATCAAGTTTTGTAAACATCCACACAATCAACTCAATATCACATTCTCAATACATTGTTGGTGGTTGACAATTAGGAAAAAAAAGAAGCAACATTTCAATCACCTTCTCTCGCACCTGTGCACATATCAGAATCTCAAAATAAATAGAAAGCTGACTTGCTGAAAGTGGATTGCCCTAGGAATTAGAGAAGACAGGCCCTCTAGTTATGTGAAATGGCATTACCTCAGAGCCCAGGGATCCCAGTTCTATGAACAGGAAAGAAACAGACCCATGGCTCTATAAGAGCAATTTCCTCTCTGCTCTATTAATTTCAGAGATTAAGCAAGCCACTCCTCTGTGGGCCTAATACCCTGAGATAACAGCCATTGTGTTTGCTGCAGCTCCTGCTAACTGAGCTAATCTTGGTAGATTGGCAGTGTTGCAGGCTTTTATTGTCAAATTCAACCAGCCAATGTCTCTCATGGCCCCTTCTATCATCATCCTGGCCCCTAGAACTACCAATGCAATCCCTAATGCTGAGTTCCAGACACTTGAATGATGTCTGGGTTCCCAGGGAGGAAAGTAGCAGTGTGTCAAATGAGTTTTAAAAAGGACACCAGGACCATATAGTTGAATGGGAAGCCCTTTCTGTGTTCTACTCACTGGCTTCTTGTTCTCAGTCATACTAGGAAGCTCATGTAATATATCCAGTGCTTGCCGTTCTGACTGGTTTCTATTAAGAGAAAAAGTAGGATCTTCTTCCCTCTCATCTTTCCTCTTTTTTCTCCTTGAAGGGGTGCAGTGCAGAGATCACCGGACTGGGAGTCCAGGTGGAGCCTTCGACTGTATTTCCAACTCTTTTGGAAACCCACAAGGGGCGGGGGCAGCTCATCTCCCAGATCTTTTCTAGATCAGATTTGAGCTCCTTATATTTGGTGTGGGTTCCCTGCCACCAAACTTGCACAGAGAATTTCAATAACATATCTTACGTTCATGTTTAAGATTAGAAGCATTCAACACCCCCCTCCCCCCATAGCCCATTATCTGACCGATTCCTGGAGCTTTCTGGGCTCCTGACGATTTCCCACCATGGCGAAATGGGGAAGCATGCTCTTGATTACAAGCCGACTTTTCCAGTCATCCATTGTTTGACCTGCAATTTTATTCTTGACTCTCCAAGGCGCTTCCCAAACGACCTAGACACAGGGCTTTGGGAGACAAAAAGTACACTGTCTTTCAGATACGAAGATGAGACCATTGACCCCGTGAATCACAGACTTTCACTTTGAGGACAGGTTTGTGTGGAGTCAGCCACATTCTTTTCCTGTCTCTCTCCCCACCCCGCCACCCTCATTCAGCACCCCCACCCCCAAGGATGAGGGCCACTTCTGTGAGGCAGTTGGCTGGGATGAAATGGCAGTTGTTGGCCAGGGGGCAGAACAAAGTTCTGGGCTTGCAGTCCAAGGCAGGGAATGTGGGTCCCAGGTCTGGCTTTGCTTTTGTGTGATATGTAGTGGGATCCAGGGAAAGGCTCTTCTGATTTTTTAGATGCAGTTTTTTTATATGAAAAACATGGTGGCTGAATCAGGTGATGACTTACGGCCCCTTCAGCTCTACTAGAGTAAGCCTTATGGTCCGTAGAAGGAGCAGCCACCAATTCTGGCCTGGTTAGGACCCAGCCAAGTGAGCTAACCAAAAGTTCAAAGCCTGACAGACACCGGAAGGAAGCAGTGGATGTTGGAAGGGGCTCATGACACCCTGGTGCACTGGTTTAAAGGAAACTAACTTAGCAGGATATGACCACATCTACTCCAATATATGCTCTCCACAATGGATAAGCAGACATATGCAAACCCAGAGAAAGCCATCATTTCTTTTTGTTTTTCATGAGTAGACCTAAAATAAGACCTCTGTTAAGGCATTCATATATAAGGGCAGCTCTATTTCCCATAAACCTCCTTAGCAATATAGCATCAGGCTCTAAAATCTCAGTGTCCAAACTTCTACCTCTGGAAAGATTGAGAAGTACTTTTTCTCATTCTCCAACTTAGTACAACTAAAACCTCTGGACATTACATATAAAACAAACATAAGAAGATACCAAAAGGTAGAAATAAAAAGGTAGACTGGCTAGGGACCTTGGGACCTGAGGAATGATGTAGTGTTGCGTTCCCTGGATTTTCTTTTTGCCTTATATATGCCAGACTTGGAGCTGAAGAAGCCTATAACCCAGAATGCCAATGGGCACTGACAAAAAGGCCCCAGCAAAAGCCTGCTCTTTCAAGCAAAAGGACCAAGAAAGGGGTAGCCTATCAAGACAGAAAACCTTTAGACAATAACTGTGTTCTAATCCAGCTAAACACCATGGAAAAATTGCAGTCCCATTCCATATCATCAGCAAAGGGCAAGTGAGGAGGCTAGACTTCACCTTCACTTGGAAGTAATGAGGTGCTCTTCCCCATCTCCACTAAGATGGTATCACTATAGGCCTAGTGGGGAGCTGGAACTCTCAACTCTGCCCAGCAGTAATGCGTCTAACCTCCCTAATGTCAATGAAGGCTAAATGGGTAACCTGGACTTCTACACTCATTTGACAGAAATAAGATGGTGTCTCCCTTCCATGCCAGAGCAGTGTCAGAGGAAGTCAGTTAAAACAGAAGATTTAAATATGATCCATTCTTTTAACACAATACCCCAAATATCCAAGTTTTAATACAAAAGCACTTGTCATACCAAGAACCAAGAAGATCTCAAACTGATGAAAAATATTATAAAGAGGTGCCAATAGCAAGATGACACAGATGTTAGAATTATCTGACAAGAACTTTAAAATGCTTCAACCAACAATTATAACCATGCTTGAAACAAATGAAAAAACAGAGAAAGTCTCAGCAAAGAAATAGAATTCTCAGCAAAGAAACAGAAAATATAAAGAAGAACCAAATAGAAATTTATAACTGCAAAATACAATAACTGACATAAACTCAATGAAAGGGATCAAGAGGATAATAGAAAGGACAGAGGAAAGAATTAAGATAGAACAACAGAAATTACCCAATGTGAACAGAAAGAAAACAGACTAGAAAAAAATGAAAAGAGAATCAGGGACATATGGGATTATTAACAAAAGATGAACTTTCATGCCGTTGGAGTTTCAGGAGAGGAAAGGGAGAGTGGGACTTAAAAAAAGTATCCAAAGAAATAGTGGCTGCAACTCCCCAAATTTGGCAAAAGACACAAATCTGGAAATTAAAAAAGCTGAATGAACCCCAAACAGTATAAGTCCAAAGAAATCCATTCCAAGACTCATCGTGGCCAAAATTCTGAAATGTGAAGACAAAGTTTTGAATGCAGTGAGAGGGAAATGACACCTTACCTATAGAGGAAAAAAATATTTGAATGACACTGAACTTTTGATCAGAAACCATGGAAGCCAAAAGGAAGTGGCACAATATTTTTCAAGTACTGTAAAAAAATATCTGTCATCCCAGAATTCTATACGCAGTGAGACTATGCTACAGATAGATATGGAAGGGGGATCAAGACATTCTCAGATGAAGGGAAACTAAGAGAATTTGTCAACAACGGACTTCTACTAAGAGAATCTCTAAAAGAAATTCTCTAAGCAGAAAGGAAATGATAAAAGAAAAAATCTTGGACATCAGAAGGGCAGAAAGAACAACGGAGAGAGAAAAAATATGGATAAATTTAATAGATGTTCCTTCTCTTCTTGAGTTTTCTAAATTATGTTTCATGATTGAAGCACCAATTATAACATTATCTGATGTGGTTCTAAATGTATATGGAAGAAATATTTAACATCATTACATTATCAATGAGGAGGGAGGTAAAGGGATGAAAAGAAGTAAGATTTCTACACTTCACTGAAACTGGCAAAATGTCAACACCAATAGACCATTATAAGTTATATGTGTATATATACATGTTTAATACCTAGAGCGACCACTAAACATGCTTTACAAAAATATATACTGAAAAACTCTATATATGAATCAAATAGAATTCTAATAATTGTTCAACTAACCCACAGGAAGTCAGAAAAAAGAAAAGAGAAAAACAAAAAACAGAGAATAAACAGAAAACAAAGATAAATGGGCAGAACTAAGCACTAACTTATCAATAACTACATTAAATCAAAATGGTTTAAATATACCAAATAAAAGACAGAGATTAAAAAAAATAGAAGTGGCTCTAGTAATAAAGTAGACTTCAGAGCAAAGAAAATTACCAGGGATGGCTAGAGACATTACATAATGATAAAAGGGTGAATCAATCAAGAAGACATAGTAACCCTAAATATGTATGTTCTAAACAACAAAGCTTCAAAACATAGGAAGCAAATGTTATTAGGACTGAAAGGAGAAATAGAAAAATCCACATTTATAGTTGAAGACTTCAACAGCTTCTCTCAACAACTGATAGAACAACTAGAAGAAAATCAGCAAGTTTTGAACGAAACAAAAGGTTTCAATAGGACCTAACTGACATTATAGAATGTTCCACTGAAAAACAATAAAATTTACATTTTTTCAAGCATTGAAAGAATATATACCAAGATAGACATATTCTGGACCATAAAATACCACAAAAATGTAAAAGAATTAAAATAATTCATGATACTTTCTCTGACTATAGTGGAATCAAATTAGGAAACAGTAACAGAAAGACAACATGAAAATCTCCAAACACTTAGAAATTAAACAGCACACTTTAAATAAATTCATGGATCAAAGAGGGAGGTCTTAAGAGACATAAAAACTACATTGAACTGAATGAAAATGAAAATACACTATATCAAAATTTGTGGAACATCGGTAAAGCTGAGCTGAGAGGAAAATTTATAGAACTAAATGCTTACATCAGAAATGAAGGAAAGTCTAAAATCAATAATCTAAGTTCCCACTTAAAGAACCTAGAAAAAGAAGAGCAAAATAAACCCAAAACAAGCAGAAGGACAAAAATGATAAAGAATCAAAATCAATAACATTAAACAGAAAAACAATAAAGAAACTCAATGGGAAAAAAGCTAGTTATTTGACAAAATTAATAAAATTAACAAGTCTCCAGCAAGATTGACAAGGAAATAAAGAGAAGATACAAATTACTAATATCCTGATCAAAAAAGGGGATATTACTACAGAACCTGCAGACATGAAAAGGATAAGGGAATATAATCAACAACTCTACACATATAAATTTGGGAACTTAGATGAAATTGACCAATCATTCTAAAAGGACAAACTACCAAAATTTATCCAATATGAAATAATCTGAATAGACTTATGAAACAAATCAAATTCAAAATTTAAAAAATCTCCTAAAATAAAAACTGTAGCCTCATATGGTCTAATTAGAGAATTATACCAATTCTTTAAAGAATTAGCACCAATTTTACATAAACTCTTCCAGAAAGGAAAAGAGGAGGGAACATTTCCCAACTCATTGTTTTACCTTGACAGCAAAGACAAGCACTGTACAAAAATAGAAGACAACAGACTAATATCTTTTATAAATATAGACACAAAATCCTTAAGAAAATTGTAGCACTTTATGAAAAGAATTATATACCATGATCAAGTTGAGTTTATTCTAGGGATGCAAGGCTGGCTCAATATTCAAAAGTCAATCCATGTGATCTACCATATTAAAAAGAAAAGAATAAAAATCATATGATCAGTTTGAGGTCAAAACAATATTGAAAAAAGAAAAAAAAGTTGGAGGAATCACTTCCTGATTTCCAAATTTACTATGAATCTACAGTAATCAAAATAGTGTAGTACTGATATGAGAATAGACATATAGATCAATAGAATAGACTTGAGAAATCAGAAATAAACCCATAAATCTATGTCCAATTTATTTCCAACAAAGTTGTCAAGATCACTCAATGGGGGAAAGAATAGTCTCTTCAAAAAATAGTCCTGTGACAACTGGATATCCACATGCAAGAAAATGAAGTGAGTCCTTACCTCACATCATATACAAAACTCAGCTCCAAATGGGTGAGCAACCTAAACATAGGCATTAAAATGATAAAATTCTTGGAAGAAAACATAAAGGTAAATCTTCATGACCTTGGATTTGGCAATGGATCCTCAACTATGACACCAAAAACATGAGCAGCAAAAGAAAAAAGTAGATAAATTAGACTTCATCAAATTAAAAGCTTTTGCCCATCAAAGGACAT